GGGAGGGGGAGGATGTGACGAACAGGCACAGGCCCCTCCCTGGACCTGTCGCCGAACGACTTTGTCAGACAACTGGCCAGTAACAGATGGTAACACTGAGGATCCAGCATGCATGCAAGCAACTCTTGACACACATCATCATCTCACACATATTCGACTTGGTGGGCGGCAACATGTGGAGCAAGTCCGTCGATCGCTCAGGGCCCGGGCCACTGATGGCTACCTGGGTGCTTTTTGCTGTTGTTGCGAGTGTCTTTGCTTCAAACGAGTTTAAGACCAGACCCAGTATTACGGCAGATGAGAATGGCACGCTTCATGTCAACACAACTGGCGTCGTGTTGATCAATGGGGTTGATGTTGTAAACACCCTGGCACAGGTCGCGCAGCAGCTTCAAGACCTCAGGCAACGCGTCATGCTTCCTATTTTTGATGGGGCCTTGTCCATATCCGCGGGCAGCGATAGTCCCAACTCCATATATGCAGCAGACTTGGATGGTGATGGTGACATGGACATCATCGGCTCAAGCAATAACGATAACACGATCGCGTGGTATCGCAACGACGGCGCTGGCGAGTTTTCAAAAAGGGTCCTGAGCGCATCGGTAGACCGTGCTCGTGCGGTTTTCGCAGCTGATTTGGACGACGACGGTGACATGGATGTGGTTGCCGCTAGTGGGGGGGATGACGAAATAGTCTGGTACCGCAACAACGGAACAGGCGGCTTTTCAAGCAGTCTGACCATTACCACGTCGGCTGATAACCCCAACTCGGTGTTTGCAGCTGATCTAGACGGCGACGGTGACTTGGACATTCTCAGCGTGAGCCTCAATGATGACACGCTTGCATGGTATCGCAATGATGGCTCTGGCCAATTTTCAAGCCGCCGGCTCATCTCCACGAATACAGACTATCCACATGATGTCTTTGCGGCTGATCTCGATGGTGATGGCGACATGGACGTTCTTAGCGCAAGCTATGAAGACGACAAAGTTGCTTGGTATCGCAATGATGGGAGCGGCGCTTTCTCAAGTGAAATTATCATAACCACTGCGGCAGATGCTGCTGTCAGTGTTTATGCGATCGACCTAGACGGTGATGGTGACATGGACGTGCTGAGCGCGAGCGAGTTTGATAACAAAATCGCTTGGTATCGTAATGACGGGACCGGACGCTTCTCGACTCAAATCATCATTTCCACTCAGGCCGAAGGTGCTCGCGCAGTATACGCAGTGGACTTGGATGGAGATGGCGATCCCGACGTTCTCAGTGCTAGCAGATACGACAACAAGATTGCATGGTATCGCAATGAAGGTGCCGGTGTGTTTTCTACGCAGAACATAATAACGACATCTGCAACTGGTACTCGGGCCGTGCATGCAGCAGATCTGGATGGCGACGGTGACTTGGATGTCATGAGCGCAAACGAGGCTGGCAACACAATTACATGGTATCGCAGCACCGGACTTTCCATTCCTCACGATTAAAACACTTTTTGTTTTTCTCAGCCGTCTGCTTTTTCTCGGGGGCTGTTCCTCTTTCTAAAGTTTTGACTCGCCGACGTCTCCGCTTTGGTCTCCATCTATTTGCCAGCGTCTCGGCAATCTCGGCTCATTCACTCACCCATCTTTGTCTTGAGCGATGCTCTTGAATCTTTAATCGAGAAGCACAATGGCACATTCGCATAGTCCTTATTGCAGAAGCGATTGATTCTCCGCTGTAGCGTCCCCACTCAAATACATACAGAGCGGGAAAGCTAAGTAACCAACGCTTGCCATGCCTTCACAATGACCGCGCCTCCCCGATCGTGCCCCGTGACACATTAATTTGCAACACTGGCCCCCCCCCCCAATTTGAATGGACACGACAAGAGCCAGCCAAGGTCGGGTCATCGAGATCGAGGGAGGGTGCCACCCAAATTCGTATCGTCACGAAAATACCAAAGAACGTGCCAGGAACGAATAAAGTGTGGCATTTGTTACAGTACCGCTGATGAGTTGAACTTGAGGTGAGATGATGCTGACTGTTGCAAAGCCGTCGTGCAGGTGCGCGCTGCAACTTGACTGAAACTGGCGGCGGGAGGAGAATGGCAGCCGCAGTGAATTGGTCGTGCGGTTGTGGACGAGGGCGATTCAAGCGATTTGACTATGGGTGTTTTTGGGGTTTGTACTTTGTGATCACTACGCGGATATGGGAACTCTGAGTTGAAGGGAGCAGACTCTTTGGGACGTTGGCTGCAAGTTGTGGTGACAGCGTCACCCCAGGCTTAGATGGCTTGCGTGCTGTGTCCTGGCCTTGTAATGGTCAACGCACCCCTCTGCCCCCGCCAACCACTTGCATTTCCCGTGCCTACTGAAAATCTGACCTTTTCATTTTTCCTTGGGTCGGCCACTCGCAGCCATTTGACAACATGAGCGAGTTTACAGCAGTCACGCTCGAGGGCGAGGTGGTCCGCGGCTTTGGCCGCGGCAGCAAGGAGCTTGGCATTCCTACCGGTGCGCTGTCGCCCGCAGACCATGATTTGACCTTGCGGTGCCATCGCACTAATGGCAGCTCGTCTGCATCTTTGCTTTGTGTGGACAGCCAACTTTCCGGAGGACGTAGTGGAATCTCTACCCACGAACATGGAGCAGGGCATTTACTACGGCTGGTCACAGGTCAGTGACCAAAAGTTTTCCGGCTTCCATTTCACTTTGGCATTGTTCGTTTGTGTGCCGAAAAACACACCAACAAAAACCAACAAACCAAACAAAAATTTCGAGTTTTGTTCTCACGATACAGTGTTTGAATTTGCCGCGGATAGGTGGGATCCGGCCCCGTCTATGCTGCGGTCATGAGCGTCGGCTGGAACCCCTTTTATAAGAACGAAAAGCGCTCCGCAGTACGTTGAGCGCGATCCTTTCGTTGGGCCCGTTCCGTTTCAGACTCCTCACGCCCTGTTCACGTGGTCCCTGCCAGGAAGTGCACATCATGAACAAGTTTGACAGCGACTTTTACGGCGAAACGATGCGCATGCTCGTGCTTGGTTATATTCGTCCCGAGCTCAATTTCTCTTCCCTTGGTTCGTGCATGTCTCTCACGTTCTCTCTAGCGTCTGCATTCCTGAGTGGCTAGTTGTTCTCACGATCCTTTTCCCGTGTGCTCTCAACGCCGCACCGTTTGCAGATGCTTTAATAGAAGCCATCAATAACGATATCCGCATTGCCGGTGAAAAACTCGCAGAGCCTGCCTGTGCCGAGCGCAAGAATGATCCCTTCTTTGTTCAGTGATTGAATGCCCAAGGTCGTTGGTGTGTTGGTGTTTTTCTGCTTGATTCGCGAGAGGCTGCCGAGCAAACAAGCCAAGCAAATAGAACATGAAAAAAAAAATGATCGCGCAGCATTGACAGACGTCTTGGGGGCTTTGGGGCCTTGGATCATAGCTAGGCCTCAATTGGTTACAACTCAACATCCAGCTCGACTGGACACGCCGCTAGAATTGCCACGCAGACAACACATAGGCACACACAGGCACCACACAGAAAGAAGTCAAATCTCTCTTCTGTTCATGACCAAGGGCTTGGGAAGCCCGCCATCAACCACGCGCCTCCAGATCACTGTCTTCCCAGTAGATGCCAAATGAAGACAAGCGCCAAGTCAAAGCTCCATTCACCAAACGACCGCCGCGGACTGCGCACGGCATGGCGCCGCTGAAGAAATGACACGTGCTGTCGTTCTCAGCCTCACATGTCAGTCAAAGACATCATCAATCTCGCTCTGCGCAGAGTTCTTCAGCAAGCCTGACCAGGAGAAGGGGCGGGCACGGGGAGGTGGCACCTGGTGCTCGGGAATGACAAAACCCGAAACGGGATTGTCACGGGGCGGGGCCGAGGCATTGCGCGAACGCATAAAGGTACCCGTCTTGCTGCGGCCCCAAACAGTCAGCAAGTCGGCTTGCGGAACGTCGCTTGCTTGCTCATCGTCAATCTGCACGCCCAGGCCCATGGGAAGGTAGCGGCGCATAAAGGCATTGGCTGACTCATTGCGCCGACCTGTGGGCCGCTTGACAGTGTGGACCACCTCACCGCCCAACCCGAGTTGCAGGACCGGATGCCCCTGCGCAGCTTGCTCGTTTTCGTCATCCGTAAATTGAGACTTTGAGGCCTCCGTGATAAAGGCAATGTTGCGAACATCAGCCGAATACACGGTGTCCTCGTCAAAATCTGACGACGGCCCCCAATCACCACCATGGACTGTCATGCTGGCAATGGGTACGGTCAGCGACTGGGGTGAGCCCGTGCCGGTACCGTTGCTCCCGTTAGAGGGCCGCGATGCCTCAAGGTAGTTGTCCGGGCGCGAACGTTTGAGATCGCTGCCCATCAGCCTATCAAACTGCGCCGGTGTCTCTGAAGGCCCACAGACGTCTTCAACCCGTTCTTGCGCCCTGTGAGCAGCAATCAGGCAACATTAGCACAGTCAGTAAGCCAGCGTCAAGCAAAAGCGCACGTCATTCCATTGCGGAAGCGTCGCAAAAATCCCACCCCCTGCTCCTCAATAAAAAAGCAATAAACAAACAAAAACCAAAACAAAACAAAAACAAGAACAAAAACAAGAACAAAAACGAGTCACAGTCAACTTCCAAAGAGCCCGCAGCCATCGCAAAGACTCACAGGCTCAGGCTCTCTGCGCTGGGATGCACAATACGCCGCAGCGGGATGCCTTCAAAGCGCTCGTGGATGATGATGTGATCAATGAGCTCACACAACGTCGGATACTATCGTGCCACCGAGGGAAAAGTGAGGGAGGATCAAAGTGAGGGCATGGTGGGCAAAGTGGGGGCACGGCGAGCACGTGGAAGCATGAAGCCCGTAAGGGGTGGACCAGTTCAAGCATGCAAAATGGTACGAACCATGGCGTCTGGGTCTTGTTTGAACCAGTAAAGGCCCTCATCATTGACATAAATGTGTGCGTGATGCACGCGAATAGCAGCCATTAGACACACGCTGTAGAGGGCATTGGCCGCGGCCTCCTCGTCGGGTTGAACACGACGAATGAGAAAATCGCCTGCCTGACACCAGTGCTGTGCCATCAGGGCATCCACGAGTGCTGCCGAAACATTCAAGGGCAGCGACTGCTCCACTTGGCGCTGCAATATTGGATGGCAGGCAGGTCACGTGAGGAGGCTCATTCCGTACACGTGGATTGTGTTCTGATTCTCATGCTCATTGTGTCGTGGTGCTTGGGAATCTTATCGTTGGTATTTGCGAATTCGTCAAGGGTCTGGAGCACAGTCAACGAGTCAGGGGCTCGACGTACCACAAAGGATTTGTTAAGTTCATCGGCTGAAAGCTTGACCTTGTTGAGGGAGTTGCGAAGGCGCACAGGTGCGACATCACCTTCTCGCTACAGAGATAGGTGGTCGTGAGATGTCAGGCAAGGGCTCTCTTGCACAGCTCAAGAGCACAGACATACCTCCCAGCAGCGCAGCTGCAAGGGCTGACGAGTATAGTAGAGGGCAAGCTCCTGCTCGGTGGCAAAGAGGGGCATGTGCGGATCGTGGGATTTGGGCAGCCGAACACGATCACCCTCGTGTTGCAGCTCGATGCAGAGCGGGTGGTAACGCAGTCGAGGATTTATATCCAGCACCTCATCCAAGTGGACGCTGTCAATAGCATGGCGCGAAAAATCAAGTGAGGTACAACTGAGCGGTTCTCAGGCGAACAAGAGGGGTCAGCTGCGCGACATTGAGATGGACACCAACCGTTTGGTGTGAACAAAGGCCCCGTCGCAGTAGGAGAGCGACAGGAGACGGTTGGTGGCGTCAAAGGCCGTCATGATGCCGGTAATGACAGCTAGCGGGGTGAAGGCGACAAAACATGGAACCAAGCGTCAACCAAGAGGAATGGTACCGAGCTGGGGCGCCACAAGAATTGGACCCAAAAAGAGGAGCCGAACGGGTTGAGACGCACTATCGGGGGCTTGATGAAAGCCGACAAGGCGAGTAGTTCGAGCAAGGCCCTCGGCGTTGATGCAGAGCTGTGATCCATTGGTTGCAAGCTTGACCCTGCCAAAATCATGGGTTTAGATGAGAGTATGCGGTTGTTTGAAGAAGAAACGGCCAGGCGCGGGTGTAGGCGAGCCGGGCGGTAGCGGGCGGGGTGCTTGGGAGCGTACGCTTGCTCGGCTTCCTTCATACTAAGGATGACATAGTCGTGCAGTTTGCCTTTGGCGCGGAGAAGGGCTGCACAGCCAACCAAGCTATTGTTGGTGATCATTGTAGAGTTGACCATTCGCTGACGCGGGCGAATGCAATGGCGGCGGCAGCACGGTGCAAGGCGTTCGTAGCGGGCGGCGTTTTTCGGTCTTGCAAGCTGCTCTACACCATGATCCCCACCCTCAGCAGCTGAACTAGAAAGAGGTGCTACGGGCGTTGCCTGGGCTGGTTGAGACGGCGCGCCGGCTGGGGCAGAGGTGCGGCGATAGATGCACGAGCGACAAAAGGCGGGTGGGGTGTGGTCAGCGCGTCGTCCACGAATATACTGCAAGCAGGGGTAGGTGATATGGGCTGGTGAGGGGATGACCAGCAAAGCTCTTAGCGATATGGGGCCATGAGCGATGGGCTAGAGCGTTGGGGTGGCGCGATGGGAGCGATGCTCGTTCACACACTGCTTGAGAAAAACCAACCGGGAATTGATACGTGTGTCAGTGCTGATGAAGCTGGGGAATGTTCAAGGGAAAGGCCGGTTGAGCTGTCCTCATGGTGGTCGTGACAGGGGAAGAACAGGGCGGTACATGAGTACAGATGGGATCAAAAGTTTGACCTTTATCGAGAGATGGATGAGACCAGGCTGGGCACGAGCGTCAAGAGAAGACACAAGAATGATGGGTTGATTTGTGGTTGGTTGGTGGGGTCGGAATGGCATTGTAGTCAGCGCGACCAGACGGTTGTGAGGTAGGTAGCGATGAACCACAGAGCGCGGTCCCATCCAATCGAGGGCTGACAAGCAAAGATCGGTGCGCTACCCAGCCGGGCTGCTTTTTTGGCCAAGAGCGAGCGATAGGAGGCAGCACACGGGCGAAGCGACTGGATTGTTTTGGGTTTGAGATGGAAGCATTGTCTTTGGTGATTCTGGGTCACAACCACAGCGCGGCAAAAGCTGGCGCGTCACGCACCTTCTCCTGGGCCAAAGGTAGTTTATCAACGCCCCCGGATGCCGTTTATCAAATGCAATGGACCTCGGCACCGCCAGTCTCAGGCGACGAACCAGCGTCCAGAACGAGGAAAAAAAAAAAAAAAAGTGAACAAACACCTTCTGGTTGCATGCGCTCTTTTCCAGAGAAAAAAGTGTGAATAAGACCTTTGCGTCGCTCTGCAACAAGAATGGTATAGAATCAACGAAATTTTCAACAGGTTTCAGAGATGCTAGCGGGTTTCAGAGGCTTGGTCAACAACGTTTACATGAATGCGAGAGTGGAGAGAGAGAGAGAGAGAGAGAGAGAGAGAGAGAGAGAGAGAGAGAGAGAGAGAGAGAGAGAGAGAGAGAGAGAGAGAGAGAGAGAGAGAGAGAGAGAGAGAGTGTGTGTGTGCGAGAGAGAGTCAGAGCAGTTTGTTATGGAAGTGACGACGACCGCGCCGGGCCGGGTTAGGAAGGGGCAGAGCATCGAGAGACCGAGGGCCACAAGCGTCGATTTTGCTACTGTCTCTTTAGGCGCCACCGCACTTGGGTTTGAGGGGCCAACGAGACGCATCCGCTCCTCAACCCGCTCAACCATCTAGCTGTTTTTACACGCCATATTTTGCCCCATGCATGGTCTAGCGTGCTTATCATCCACTTTTTGCGCCAACGTCTCATATCTGCGCCTGCGCACCCCCGTAGCAACAGCCAAAGCCAGGCATCGCCCAAATTCTGCCGTATCAGAGCCAACGCGGCACCGCGTATCCCTCCTCCCCCTTCTCCCCCAGACCCCTCTTCCGCCTTGTTCCGCCACATCCGACTGCGCTGTTGTATACCCCCAATCCCTTTTTGATGCAGTGTCCAGGCACCGAGGCTGACCCGAACGTCAATAGGGCACAGTGTTGCCAGCGTATGACGCAGTCCCTGATTCAGTCAACAACGTGCACCGTCAGCTTTGTGCAGCTAAGTTTGATCTTGTTGCAGAAAAATTGGGGATTCTAGGTAGAATTAAATCAAAATCACACGTACCTTTTGCAGCTGTCATGTTGGCTGGTGTTCGTGTGGCCCTGTGGTTGACAACTGCGTCATGCCAACTCCCAAAGCATGACGCAGTTGTTCACCAAAACATGGCCAACGCCCACGCTACCATCTGTATACAAACACGTGCTACCATGTGTCACATTTTCAAAGCGTGATAACAGCCCCGCTTTCAATCGCTTTTGAGTATCGTACCAACAGCGTGACTCTGGTTACACTTTACTATTGTCAGCGGTTTTGCGGGAGCGATGGCATATGTGCAGACGGCGGCGGCGCACATTGCCCGCGCCCTGCAACTGGACCGCGATCGAGACCTCCACGGTACGGCGATCAATCAACAGTGCCGAGTTGATGCACTGGCTTCCGCACCGTGCTTATGGGGATGATCGAGAGCGGTCTACCTTGCTTCTTCTCCGTGCGCTTCCCTTACACATTCACGCGCGTGCTGTTTCTCTCACAGGAGCATATCAAGAGCTCATTCAGGGTATTCAGCTGCTGCTCCAAGGAGTACCGGGTGACGATGATCCTCGCCGCGTTCGTGGCGTGTACCAGCGCATTCGAGACTACGTAGAAAAGGCCGAGGACCTTCGCCAACACTTGCCCCCTACACAAGCAGCTGCCACCGCCGCCGCGCATGCCCACGCCACCGAGTCCTGCCCGTCTGACGCCGAGATTGATCGCATCCTTGCCGAGCTTGAGCAGGAAATTGCGGCCGCAGACGAGGCAGCCGAGTCGTCTTCAGCCCGACAATCCCGCGAGCCAGCCCCGAACCTTGCCCCAACCTCCACCCCCACGCTGCCGCATCTCCTTTATTTTTCAGGCGAGGATGACGAGGCCCAACGCCAGCTGGATGAGCTCTAGCTCGCCGCGCATCCATTTTGCATCACTGCGGCATTTTCATGTAACTTGATTTGAAAACGCTTGCTCTTCCAATCGTGCTGCAGACCCATGGTCTGGTTGTGTTCCAAGCTCTGAGAGCCAATCGATTTTATTCATTTTCCCGCGGGCCCAAACACACGCCCTCAAGAAGAAAACCAAAAACTTACACGCAAACATCAGAGGAATCAAGGGTCATTCGGGGTCGCACCATCGTGGCTGTCCGACCTCTTGACTTGCGTATTCCCAGAAGCCAACCCGATGAGGTAGCGCTCACGAGGTTGCGGGCGGCGGGGGCGGCGGGGGTGGCGCTTGTTGATCAGGGCCTCCGGGCGGCGGGGGCGGGGGCGGGGCACCACCTTGTGGTGGGTAGCCGTAACCGTAGCCCTGTGGCGCGCTGTAACCGTAGCCACCGTAGCCCTGTGCTGGGTAGCCACCATAGCCTTGTTGTGGCTGCTGGTAATAGCCCTGGTTGTAGCCACCATTGCCATAGCCATAGCCATAGCCTATGGCCAACAGGCAAGCATCATTGAGTCCACGCACGGAGAGGACCAGGCCTCTTTTCGGAAGCAACGCGAGAAAATCAAAGCAGCTTACCTCCATGGCTGGGTGGCGGTGGTGCGGCGTGGGACTGAGAATATCGGCGGGGTGGCGGACCACCCGATCCCGATCCAGAGGGTGGTGCCGGTGCACGATCATTGCTGGGAGTAGCACCAGCGGGCTTGGGTGCTGCGGGAGCTTGTGCAGCCGAGCCCTCACCAAGTTCGGCCATGAAAGCGCTAAACTCAGTGTCGAGCTGTGCCTTGTCTTGTTGCGGCTGCGCGCCACCAGCCAGTTTCTATATGCAGCAAAAACGCATCAGGCTGAGAGGCACACAGACACAGATTCACAAATGCACAAATTCACGGACACAGACACAGACAGAGAGACAGAGAGACAGAGAGACAGACACAGACACACACACGGCAACCATAATCAAACGACAGGCTTGCCAACTACCAAAGCTGCATGCGAGACACGTACGTTGTGTTGACAATCGCGGGCCAAGTGACCAACACCACCACAAATGGTACAACGTTGCTCGTTGACAAAGTTCTTCTTCTCGGCACACTGCCAGGTGCGATGCTCAGTTGAGCCACAGTTACGACAACGCAAAACGGCATCCTCTGCACGGGCCGTGCCGTTGAGAACCGCTAGCTCGCGGAGCTGCTTTGATTTGAGCTCGTTGCTATCATCGGGTGTTTCAATGGCGACTTGGATGGCCTGCTTGACGCGATTGACGGCAATTCGGAGGCTCTCGTGCGAGTGCGCCGTGATCAAAGCAAAGAGGGGATCATCCTCCTCCGATCCGGTGGCACCGCGATTGGCTACCGGTTGATAAGAGCATAAATAGTACCAGGGTGAGCCGAGATCCCTGGCCGAGTGACACGCCACGCCATAATGCTAGCCCATGGGGCGCCAAACAAGCAAAAACCGCACAGACGCACACCCTGCCAGCGCTCACCTTTGCCCTCTTTGACCGAGTTGCGCCCACGGATCATAATCTTGGCGCCCGACTCGCGCTCCATCTGCTGCAGCGTCTTGCCACGAGGGCCAATGATTTGGCCCATAAAGTTGACATCGGGATACTCGTCCTGTGGAATGGGAATGCGGTCCTCGCAGCGCGTGTCCGGCGGGCGATAGTCTGCCGGGGGCTTGTAGTTGGGGTTGGAGGACACGAGTTTCTGCACGAGCTCGTGGCGTTCCTTCTCATACTTTTGGCGATAGCGCACGTCTCGGGTGTTGAGGCGCTGACCGCGCTGGTTGTACACGGGTTCTGGCGACGGCGAGCGCTTCTCGGGCACGTAACCGACGCGGATGTGCGCACTCAGCTCGTCCACGCGCAGCTGTGCCAAGTACATCTCCTGCTCATCCTTGCTCAGGTTGGGCGGGATCACGGTCCTCGGGGTCAACAAGCGTTCACTGTCGTTGCCCCAGCGCGAGCGGCGCTTCTTGGAGCCATCATCGCCGCCTGCACCACCCTCGTTCGAAGCATTGGCAGCTGGGGCCGGATCCTCTGGCTCATCCGGCAAGGGCACACCGCAGTATTCGGCCACCATTCGGCGCGCCTTCTTGACGATGGCCGGATGCAGGATTTGCGCCGGTGGCATCATGCCATACTGGTTGTATGCCATGATGGTGGTCTGGCGAAAGAGCGAGCGCGGCAACAGCGCCGGCGCACCCTTCAATCCAGTCGTAGGGGGTCTCCTGCCCACCGACCAACGAGACAAATGCAATCATCAGTGAGCCCAAAAGGCAAAGGTGCTGGTCGAAACCACGGTAACAGCTCGCACACGTTGGTTGAACGCTTCCAACCTAACCCTCCTGGCTCCTTTGCTCCACCACCACCACCCCACGGTCGTCACCAAACGTTGTCCGTGCCACGGGACCGCTGCCTCTCTCTCTCTCTCTCTCTGTCTCGCTCTCTCTGTCTCGCCCTCTCTCGCTCTCTCTTACACACACGACTCACTTTGAAGAAACTGCTTTTGATAACACCATCAGAATCAAGATTCACTGGTTTTTTTCCATCCACTGATTCAAAATTTCAGCCATCCAGGTTAAGGTGGTCGTGTTGAAGAAAAAAAAAAAAAATTTGAACAAGTGCCGCGGCCGACTGTCGCTATGGGGGAAGTCAGGGCAAAGCTCGGCACTCGCACACACACACACACACACACACATATGGCCCCTGGCTGGCTTCATCAATGCCAAGGCCACCCAACTGGTCAAAGTACCTGCGAAGGAGGCCGGGCACTCATGACCAATTAATTTCTCCCACCTCTCAATTGGTATTCTTTTGTCTCTTCCGTCTCTTTGTCTCTCCTCTTTGCCAAAAGGTCCACATACTCTGTTGTCTCTGTGTGTGTGCTCTGTGTGTGTGCTCTGTGTGTGTGCTCTGTGTCTGTGTCTCTCTCCATCTCTCTCTGTCTCTGTCTCTGTCTCTCTGTCTCTCTCTGTCTCTCTCTGTCTCTCGCTGTCTCTCGCTGTCTCTCTGTCTCTCTATCTCTGTCTCTCTCTGTTTCTCTCTGTATCTCTGTATTTCTGTATCTCTCTGTCTCTTTGTCTCTCTCTCTGTGTACCTCTCTCTCTCCTCTCTACCTGTCTCTCTGTCTGTACCTCTCTGTCTCTCTGTCTCTGTCTCTGTCTCACTGTCTCTCTGTCTCTCTCTCTTTCTCTTTTAACTTGCTCGTCAGTGAGTTGGGCCGCCTGGTCAAGTGGCCGAGTGGCGGTCTTGGATGTGCCATGTCGTTGCGGAGCACATTGGGCGCGTTGGTCGAGTTGAACGTACATGGGTTGCGTGCGCTCATTGTGTTTGTTTCCCTGTTGCTGGCCTGGCAGTTGCAGTTTGTAGTGGCAACCGCGGTTGACGCTTTCAAGTTGTGTGGTAGCATTGGATTGCACCAAGTCGTCAAGCCAGCTCGTGGCCCTGCGCCATGGACGGCTTTGACCTCCCGGTATGCCGCAAGCACCTGGTCGCTTGCTTCGTGCCTGGCTGCCTGGAAATTTATTGCCGCATGCACGCACACATGCACCCATCGTGGCGCGCTGACAACACACTCAATCAAATGGCCACCTTCTGCTTCTGCGTAGCCGGGACTTGGCGGGCCGGAGGCAGATGACGATCTGGACCTCGAAACCTTCGGCGATGACGACCTCGGTCAGCATTCCGCCTGGGCACCGCTGTTGCCGTCTCATCAGAGGCACATCTCATCTTGCCCGTGTTCCGCAGACGATGACTTTGACTTTACCGCCCATAATCAGCTGGCGGCGGAGCACGAAAACATTGTTCAGGCCCAGGGTGGCCGTCAACTGCGCCCTGAAAATGAGGTTTGTCTTGCCCACCCTGTTGTGCCAGCGCTTTGGTCTGTGCCTACCGCGACTCTTGCGAGACCAGCCCTCACATTGATGCGTCATCCCGCCACCGCTTCCCCAGATCGCCATGATGCAGGACCAAGAGGGCCTGCAGCTGGCTGCCTTTGCGCAACAGCGCCAGCTGAATCAAACCATACTCGAGCCCACCGGTCCCGCGGATGAGGATGATGACGAGCTTTTTGTAAGGCGTCTCTTATCCGGCCAGTCACCACCCGACACTGAACCTTATCTTTGGCGCCCCCCATGCTCACGGTGGCCTCCCCATCCCGCGGTGCTAGGGTGACACGATTGTCTCGGCGCTCGACGATCTGCTCAAGCCAACGGTTGTGGATGCGGACGAGCTGCTCGCGCCTCAGCGCCGTAATACGGGCATGCTGACTGGAGCCAGTCTCTTTGATATGAATAGTGGCTCAGACACCTGGGGCAACGTAGCCGACCTTCTTCTGACCCCCGAGCAAATCGTGTCCATGTCCTCGGATTCATCCCGTGCGCCCCGTAGCGGCGGTCCAGCCCCCGTCGTACGTTCGGTGCAATGCACGCCCTTGAGCCTGCTTCCCGGTGCAATGACCACCCTTGAACCTGCTTCCCCTCTGCCATCCGCATGTCATCACCATCTCTCACCGTGTCAATGCTTGCTGAACCCTTTCGCTTGCTGGACCCCATCCTCAGTCTTCCCTTTGGTCCACCGCGCCCTACGCACCAAGCAACCTCACCACTGCGACCAGCGACTGGGGAGCTCCGGCTGTAGTGGCTGCGCAGCCACCTGCCACCTCTCGCCCGGCCCAGCAGCCCCAACATTATCAGCCCGCCCGCGTTGAGCCTCCCGCGGCTCGTCCCGTGACACTCCCCGCCCCCGCCGCCCCGGCTCCAGCCAAGCCTGCAGCCCCCAAACCCATCTCTCTCGAGGAGCTGGAACTGCAAATGGAACAGCAACTGTCCATGGCCCCGCCTCAGGCTCAGCCCAAGCCCTCGGCTCACCCCCAGCAGCTGCCCCCCCACCAGGGACATGCTCCCCCGTCGCAGCGAGCGCCGCAACAACAACAACAACAACAGTACCAGCAACAACAGCAGCAACACCTGCCCCCTCATTTGCAACAGCAACCGCAACGCGGCGCTCCCATGCACATGCAGCAGCAGCAGCATATGCAGCAGCAGCATATGCAGCAACAGCTCCACATGCAGCAGCAAATGCAGCAGCAACAGCACATGCACCGCATGGGAGGCCCTGGGGGCCACCCTGCCCAAGTCTCACCACAGCAGATGCAGCAGGAGATCATGAATCTCGAGGCGTTTCTGGAGCCCCTGGAGCAAGAAAAGGCCAAGATTCACGCCACGCGTGCTGCTGTCACAGCCCGCATGGTTGACCTCGCCAAACAGCTCTCTCGCCTCAACCTTCAGGGCAACAAGCGCACTCGCAAAGGACAGCAGACCGATGCTGAGCCATCCAATCTGACGCCAGAGCAACAGGCCAACAAGCAGTCATTGCAGCAGGAGTTATCCGAAGCCCGCGAACAGGTGCGCGATCTCGAGCGCCGCTTCAAGGCTGCTGAAGCCACTCAAGACAAGGCCCGCGAGCAGTTCTTCAACCAGCGCGCTGCCATGCTGCCCCCGGCCGCTCGCTACTCGCTGCTTCATATGCGCGTCAACTTTATCCAGCACAAGCTGGACACGCTTGGTGCCGGCGTTCGCCAGCTTACTATGATGGTCAACCGTCTCTCTCACGAGCACGAGGAGCTCTCCGCCGACAAGAAGAACCCCGAGCGCCAAGCCCGCCTCGACAAGATCATGGCCTCCTATCGCCGCGAACGCCAGCGCCTGGGCCTCTATGCCGACCTGCGTCGGCCCATCCTGGAGGAAGCGCGCTTCATTCGTGCTCGTCTTAACGAGTACCATCAGATGCAACACTCGCACAACCTTCCACCGGCCAGCCGCGAACAGGAGCGCTTGGCCAAGTACAGCAACTTGATGCGCTTCGGTGAGCGTCAGAACCTGATCACCATTGCCATGAAGCAGTCTCAGGGTTCCGACCCGTATCTGGACGACTTTTACTTTCTCCATTTTCGTCACCGTCTGGCCGTCATGCAACAGCAACAACATGGTGGCCCCCCCGCGGGACCGGCGCCAAGCCCTTCGGATGCCAGCCTGGCCAGCTTCCCGCTCTTGAACAAGAACCGCCGCTACGAAACCCCCATCGAAATCGATGGTGCTCTTGGCTGCATGCGCAGTACTGTCTCGCCGCGCGCCCCAAAGACCATGATTGCCAAGGTGGCCGTCGCACGGTCCGCAGACTCGTCTGATGAGGTGGCGACCGAGCGGGCTCAACGTCGCGCAGCTTTGCTTGACATTGAAGATGGGTTTTCCGCCTTGCTTGAGATTGAGGACATTGATCGCAGTGCCCACTCTGTGAGCGAGAAGGAACGTCGCGAGCTCTTTGATGCCCGCAACCGCCTCATCACCCAGGCCATGGAGGCCATTCACGTGGCCTCGACAGCCTCTGGTACCGACTTGGACGAGGACGCCATTCTCAAGGAGGACCTTGGCTTTGTTCGCGTCATGTGCTTGCATAAGAGCAAGGCTCTGGTCGGCCGCTTGTTGGCGGTGATGCTGCCCGTTCACTTGACCAACTTTTTCCTGGCCATGATGCGCACACTCCCCTTGCTGACGCGTGCCGGTCATGCACTGCCCTATGCTGACAATCACGTGGAGATCTTGAGCCAGGGCGTCGTGCCTACGCTCTGCAATTTCATGCAGCAGGTGCAGATGATTCATCTGAACCAAGCTCTCGACGGCCTCCTCCAGGCTTTGCCTCAGGATGCCGACGAACTCTTGGCCTATATCGATAACGTGCGTTGCTTGCCTCAGCCTGAAACGCTTGAGCTCAGGGATGTGGGTAGTGTTTTGCTATTTTTTTAATCGTGTCGACTCTGCTCACGAGATTGGCCGGTCGCCGAGCATTGCAGGTTGGCAGCATGATGTTATCAGCCATTTTCACCCGCGCAGACAAGCTTCTCTCGTCGGGCCAGGAGAGCATGGAAGTGCAGACTGCTTGGTACGCCAGCCCAGCCTGTCTTATTGCTTTGACCTAGCCGGGCGCCCCTTTGTCGTGCGCCCATCGAGCACACGTTCTTCTCATGTTTGGTTGGGGTGTGAATGGCCCCCCCCCCCTTTTTTTTTATGCTGTCTGCTGCTTGTAGGGTGAAGAACATTGGTCAGCTGGCTGAGGCCCTGGCTCCAGGTCTAGCGATTGCGGCACAAATGCCGCCTGCGGAGTTCTCCTTTATTTGGAATGTAGCCACTGTCTTGGCCACCCATGGTGGGCCCAAAGCATTGGCAACGCTTAAGGATGCTCTCGCGTATGTCCCACCATCATTCTGCCTCCTCCATACCTATCTTCACCAATCCGTTCTCCACTCATCGACTTATGTGCCTTTGAAACTGCTGGGTGGTCCAGACCTTTTGTTCCTTCGCAGGGCCATCCTGCCGCGCAAAACTTTGCCAAGATGTGTGGTTTGGCCTGAGCATGAATGGCTTTGGCGTGCAACCAGTTATTGTTTTGTGCTCTTTTGGAGATTTGGGGTTACCTTGCAATATGGGGGTTGTCGTGTGCTTCTGCGCTGATGTGGGCTGCGCCAGCGTACAACGACGTTTGGTTTGTTTGTCTTTGTGAGTTTTTGCTTTTCTTGTCTCGAAGCCAGGCCTGTCTTGAACTTTTAGTTCCCATACTTTCCGCACTCGTGGTTGTTTCCGCCCCTTTTTGCTGTTGCGTTTATGATTGTGGAATTGACATGTGAATAAACTGAAGATCGAGGCATGTTGGGGTGTTGCAGTTCTAGCATGTCGGTGAGGAGGAGGCATGCTAGTGGCTAATCTTGAGGCTAAAGTCGATGTGCGGCACGCCTTGGTGGATCCATGATGTACTGAGAATGTCCACGCCTGCGTAGTTAACACGCCGAGCAGAAGAGCAAAGTGAGGTCAGGTGGACACAAAGAGGAAGAACAAGAGGAAAAAAAACGACGAAAGTGGTCGAAAATTGTCGGGACGAACCAGACACCATGTAGTCAGCAATGGTGGCATCGGTGAGGCCACCTGAACCTTCCAGCAGAACGTTGGGAAAGTCTGCCTTGAGCCGTGCTGCCATGTCACCCAGTTCTTGTGGGGACATGTTATCAAGCATGACGATATCAGCTCCGGCCGCTGGGGTGAGGGTTGGTGGGAGCCGGGATGTAATCGGGGATGAGAACTTGGTTGTTTAGACCTTGACAGCGGCCACTAGTTACGGCGGCAGGTGTCGGTCGCTGGAAACCTACCAATGGCTTCACGCGCATCGACTTCCTTGGAGCACTCGACCTCAATTTTGGTGCTGAATCCAGCCAAGGCCCGGGCGCTGCTCACCGCTTCTGTGATGGACCCTTTGCTCCAAATGTGGTTATCCTTGAGCATCACCATCGAACTAAGATCCATGCGGTGTGTGTCGCAGCCACCCGCTACACAACCACAACCACACAAATTGGGTGTGAGTAGTCCATCAATCTTGAGTAGCTCGAAATCAGGAACGAGGGTGGCGGCAGACAGGAAGGCAGACGCACTGAGCATGGCTTGCTTCTCGAGGAGACGGAAGCCAGGTGTGGTCTTGCGCGTGCCTGCCACGATACCCGTCCACTGTCGCTGGGCCTTGAGATCAGCCAAGGCGCGTGCCCTGAGTAAAAAAAAAAAAGGTGGGGGGTGGATGAGGTTGGTAGATGGAGCGCAGTAATGCACAAGATGCGCGACGCTTGGTCCGGCATTCAGGCTGGTCGGTGGGTATGACAGACCGGGTTGCAATGCCCGACGCACGGGCCATCAAGTTGAGAGCCGTGCGCTCCCCCAGGAGAACGTCACAGGCCTGCGCAAAGTGGTCATAAAAGCCGCGCAACCCGTGTGAGGGTAGGTATCAGCACTGTGCCGTGTGCTGGGCCACAAAGGGGTGAATGAAGTCAGTCAGCAAAGAGGCAAGCGCCGGTGACTCACGCGACCGTGCACGCGGGCAATGGTGCATCGCTCGCCTGGAGCAAGACGAGTCTCTGTGCCCTCTGTCACGAGCCATTCCACCCTGCATGGGGCACCAGCGCCAATACCATTCGTGACGAGGCGCAACCTCCTAGCCATGCAAGCCGAAACGACCGGGTACTACAGGGCGCGTCCAAGTGCACGCACCGGCAGTTGACTTCGGTAAACACGGCTTCAAAGAAGTTTGTGCCAGCCACCACTCCCGATTGTTTTTGAAAGAGATCGGCCCGGGTTTCGGCTTCACCAACAACGGCGCCTCCAATATCAAAGGCAGGCACATCTTCCTGTAGCCAGCGTACGATCTGTGCCTCGCCAGCGCAGAGGGTGAGTGTGCTGAACTCTGGCACGCGAGCCAACACCGTTGCGATTCACTGACATGATCGCGCAGCAGCGCCTTGGGTACCAAGTGCGTGGTGGACATGGTGGCAACGGCGTCTAATCATTGCACCAACCACAACCAAGCCAAATGAGTCAACCCCCCCACTACCAGCCCCAGCGCTCCTCTCACACCTCTGCACCCCGACCCCGCTGCCACTGACCTGTGCTCGTGTTGAGTTTTTTCTTTTTTTTTCTCTCTCTCTCTCTCTCTCTCTCTCTCTCTCTCTCTCTCTCTCTCTCTTTCTTGATGTTCTTGTTGATGTGAAAGTGTGTGTGTAGTCAGTGTGTGTAGTAAGTGTGTGTGTGTGTGTGTGTGTGTGTGTGTGTGTGTGTGTGTGTGTGTGTGTGTGTGTGTGTTTTAGTCTTATGAGCAGTGGTGCGTGGGTGGGGGCAACGACGGGTGTGTGAGAGTGTGGGGTGGGGTGAAGGGATCATGGTTGCATAGTTTTGGTCGGGGGGTACGAGTATCAGAGTGTGGCGGGGCGAGGGGTATGGCGGGTCGTGGACGCGGGGCGGGACTTGGGGCGGCGATCCGGGGGTTCGATGCGCGGCGGTTACGGGCAACGGAGACGGTTGTGCGTTCGACTTTGAGCTTTGTGGTGGATCAGCGACAGGACCTCAATGTGGGCTATGCCACGGACCGCGTCCTGTTTGGCAGCCAAGATGTGGCCGCCTCTCGCTTCACCCTGGACCAGCTTGGTGTGACCCACGTGCTCAATGTAGGCGTTGGCATTCCCTGCTTTTTTCCCGAAGACCTGCACTACCTCAAGCTTGAGCTCTTGGATGTACCCGAGGCGTCACTGCTCACGATCCTCCAGCCCGCCCTGGACTTTGTGCGAAACGCACTCGACATTGACCCTGCGAACCGCGTCTTTATTCACTGGTTCGGCCCTGCTCGGGACCCTGTCTGTCGATGATGGTCGGCCCTCATCACCACGCGCTTCCTCACTTGTTGTTCTCTATGGGTTGTGTTCGTCTTCTTCTCTCCTGTACACAGCAACGCCGGGGTCTCGCGCAGTGCTAGCGTGGCCATGGCCTATCTGATTACGGATCACGTTCGTCCGCATGCGCACGCTAATGCTCGACAGCTCTGCCATGTGTCTGTGCGTACCAATCACGCTCTCTCCCGCTCGCAAGGCGTACACATGTGCAGACGCCCTTGCCCATGTGCGACAAACCCGAGCTGCGGCGCGGCCCAACGATGGCTTCTTGAGACAACTCTCCGCCCTTGCCCCCAACCACAGCAAGTCAGAAGCGGGGGCAAGCCGAGAGCGCACGTAAGGCTGGTGCCCTCGCGGACCATCATTATATGCCGACACATGTACATTCATGTAATTGATGCCTATCAAACCGACACCACGTTCCAGTTTGCAGCACGCGTCCATTCAAATTCAAACAAGGATCCTCCGGCACTCGGCTCCATGCTGGCCGGAGCCATTTCCATCTCCCGCTCCTTCAACACACACACACTCTCCAACCACCCAGAGCTCTTCGAAAACCCGGAAAGCTCTTTTTTTCTGACATTAGGAGAGTGATTTAGAGAGAGAGAGAGAGAGAGAGAGAGAGGATTTAGAGATTTAGAGAGAGATTTAGAGAGAGATTAAAGAGAGAGAGACTTTTAGAGGAGAGCGAGAGAGAGAGAGAGAGATTTAAAGAGATTTAGAGAGAGATTTAGGGAGTTAAAAGAGAGAGAGATTCAAAGAGAGAGAGAGCGTTTGCGAGGAGCAGCTGGCGGGAGACTTGGGAGCGCTCCTTGGATGGCGGCGGCGAGGGTTGTGTGGCTGGCGTTAGGTTGATTGATTGATTGGCCATCGCGGTTTGGGTTGGAGGGTAGTGGGCGCCTTCGAACTCGGGGTTGTGCAGCTCAAGGCTCGGGTGGACCAGAGTTGGCTGGCTTTTGGGTGCTTTTTGCAACTGTCACTTGATTGCAGCCCCACGGCCAGGATGGGACTGTCGTCCTTATTCGGGCTGCGCATCGCCGTGACCAGGTTCAGCAGATCATCATGCCTTCAGCGACCATTGAGTGGAGGTCAATCCAGCGCTAGGAGTCCCTTTGGCCACACCCGCCGCCTTTTACGCACAGAGTAAGTCCCCAGAGAGGGTCCACACGCCAACATGGGGGATTTAGCTGATGGCATGATGTCACTGGTGTGCAATGTAGCCGCTCTCAACGGTGGGCCCGCATGCAACCACCGGCCTCGGCCTTACCGGGTCGCGCAACTACGTATACCTTGATTGGCATCAACACCGCCGTCTTCAGCCTCTGGCACCTGCAGCCGCCACGTATGTACCCTCAAGCAGCGGCCCCCACGTGAACAAATGTGTGGCGCTTGATTCTCAGCTTGGCATTGCCTTGGCCGTGTTAGATTGGATGATTCAACACTTTGCAACGAGCGAGCAAAACTGGAGTGAAGGTAGCCATCTCAAATCAGCTGCCCACCGCCCCTTGGGTCCCGACGACGACCCCCGGGTTCACCCCGCCTTGCTTTGTGCCGACTCGCTGCCCATGGACCTAGGACGCTGGTATACCTTGCTGACCGCTAGCTTTAGCCACCAAAGCTTGATGCACTTGGCCGTCAACATGTTCGTCCTCAATAGCTTTGCACCACCAGTGAGTTTCCACCCCTTGAGAATCTCACCACTTTGCGGTAACGCGACAGATCAAACTACATCAACCAGCCACCATCTTACTGCCTTCTGCTCTGATTCACATTGTGGTTCCCTTAGGTAGCTGCTGTACTTGGAAGTGCGGGTCTACTCACACTCTATCTCGTGGGGGGATTGGGTGCATCGTTAGCCCATATCTACGAGAGTCAGGAGCTAGCAGACCTACGAGGTAATTGACTTCACTGACATCCTAGTTATTTCCGCTGTGCCATGCACCTGTTCTCGTCACGCCGCGCCCAGCGTCGTCACATTTCGACATGATCTGCGTGCTCATCCTTGTAGCCGGCCGGCGTCTACCAGCGATTGGTGCTTCAGGCGCGGTTCTGGCCATTTGCACCATGTTCGCGCTCATCAATCCCATGCGGCCCATCTACGTCTTCCTCATAATCCCGGTGCCCGCCATCCTGGCCGTGGGCGCCTTTCTGGCTTATGACATCCAAGCATCGGCTCAACTGTCCCGCCACTCCAACGTCGATCATGCTGGCCATATTGGAGGGGCCCTGACGGGCCTCATCTTCTACGCTCTGTGGGCTGCCCTCAAGGGCCGACTCCCCGGAGGCGCACCAACGCGGCCAGCAGTAACTCAAGCGGTTCGCCTCGCCACCCGACGCACCAGTCGGCGCACACCACCAGGAGAGCCAACCAGTTTCAACACGAAAAACAACCGGACTTCCACACGCCCGCGTGGGACTGCGTTTTAAATGCAACGTCCTGATCCCCGCCTCCCCCTCCCACTTTGCTGTCCATATAAAAGCTCAAACACCCGACCACTTCACCTTTGCCTGGTGTTGTTTCTTGCCTTATTTTTTTTTTGTCTAAGCGATTCAATTCAGCTCTATGCTCAAGCTGCTTTGCAGCACGACAATCTGACCTAGACTAGTGCTTGCTGGGACCCTCAAGTCCACACAACGCACCCACATCAAGAGTCCGCATCTAACAGCACTCCGCCTCGGCGTTGTGCAATTTTACACCGAGTTCCATGGCTCGAAGCTCCTCGCATATAGGTGCAAGAAACAAGGCGCTTCGACGTAGAGCATGGGCTGCTAGGTACTGGGAGTAGGTCGCATTTGCCCGAGGCCTTTGCGGGTCATGCGGGTCTTCGCCCCACAGGACAACCATTGCTGCCATTCGAACCTCAGAGTCCTCGTCGTTTTGAACCATCTCCAGCAGGGATCGTTCGCAGAAAGGATGCTTCAAAGCCTTTAAGAGGCCCAGGCCTTGAACCGCTGCAGTTCGAACCTCGGGCAAGCGCGAGCGTAGGGCTGGCTCAATCAGGGTTTGCCACGCATCATTAAAGCGGAGTCCTTTCCCTGGGCCATGGCGCAAAGCATATATGCGGAGCGAGTCCTCAACCTCCGCTCTAGACGCATCCTCCAAAACCCGAGCCAAGGTATCAGGTGGATCGGGCACCGTCACAGCATGGCTCAACATCCGACCATATCGTTCAACAAGATGCCCGCTCGGAGAGGCTTCTTCTTGAATGAGCGTTGCAATAAAGTTCAGGGCACCCTCTGCATATCGCCACGGGGCTGACAAGCGGTGCACCTCAAGCTCACGCAAGCAAGTTTCTGCCTGCTTGACGAAAAACTGGACGAGTGCGCTGCACCCTGTGAGATGTATCAAATACTCTCCGCTTCTCCACAGTGGCTGCCACAAGCGGCTGGCATAGCCAGCCGCCTCGACAATTGCGCTGAGGGCACCCACCTGATCAACACATCGCAAAGTGAAAACAAGTTCCGCTTCCCACTTTGGGGGGGTAGGCTCATCGCGCCTGCCAAGCCAAACAACCAAACGTACGTCGAAAAGACCCCAAAAATCTTGGCGTTCCTGGTCAGATTTTTCATTCAGAAACTGTAAGCAAGCCTCAAGAAGCCTTGCGCTATGTCACAACCCAAAGACTCGCGTGAATCGCAGATGCTGACAGGCTTGTTTCCGCTAAAAAGCGCGCAAGCACAACAATGAAAATTGTGGTACAGTCTGAGTGAGCCATGCCAACATACTCTTTTGCAGCTTGAATGTAACAGCTCATGTGACGCCAATCGTCTACAGCTGGCCATAGCTGCTCAAAAATGGCAAGGGATGATCTAACCATGGAAAAAAATGAGACGCATATGTTTTACTGCAACGGTTGCAGAGACCGATTCCCAGTTTCTTGGGTTGTCACGTACCGCGCCCACGTTCGAGGCCAGTGCGGAAAATAGCCCAACGCTCTGAGAATGCCAGTGCCATCAAACAGCTCCTGATTCGTCGAGGCCTTGATGGTAGCCAAATTCTGACACATGGCCGAACAAGAATACGGTTTAGAGCGGTACGACAAGGTGCAGACGCAAAGAGTTCCGAATAACTGACCGCGCAGAGCGCGGCTAGATGGCAGCGTTCATCATCCGCCAACGCCGTCACATCTTGTATCAGGTCAGACATCGGCAGTGGCACATCAATGGTGATGACTGGCGCTTGGGATACAGGGACAAAGGGCAGTGTGCTGAGCCCTGGCCATTGTCGCAGCAAGATAAACCAAGTGGCACTGATACGTTCCAGCTCGTTGCCGGAACCACGCACGGGCAGGCACGCTTGCCAGGTTGTCATGTTCATCAACAACACAAGCTGCTGTGCTGCCTTGAGCGCGCAGGCTCGCAGATTGAAGTGACCTCGCAGCATGATCAGTTCTTGTAGCACAGGCAAACACGCCTCGAGAGCCCGGCCTAGTGCCGGGGTCTGTGCCAGGTCTTGTTTGCGTCGAAGAAGCGCAGCTTGTACGTCATTCACAACGAGCATTAAGGTAAGGCACGCCTCTTGCTGCACCAAGGGTGACGCCGCGCTAGCAATGACGGCCAACAGCTTGTGGATCACATCCTGCTGCACATGGTGGGAAGTCTGTGGTGCACACACATGAACGTCAAACAGAGGCGAGAAGGTCGGCAGCGAGCATATGACGTTGCCTGCTCGTCAATGGGCGGCACACGCACCAGCGTAACGAGGTGGCACGTCGTGTTGCGAACAAAGGCGTGAAGGTTGACGTTGGGCGAGTGCAAGCACGCAGACAGACTGGGCCAGAGACTGGACAGATCGGCCTCGGGGGTTCGTAGCTATCGAAGACCAAGACCAAGCCATGGAATTGCCATACACATAAGAGGTGCTGCCGCGCGAGATGTGTGGGGTTAGGCAGAAGCGGGGTGGGTGGGGAGCTTACTTGTGCATAAGTTCTGCAAAAGCAAATAAGTTTAACCAGCTCAGCACAACGAGTCGCTGTGGCCTCGTCATGAATCGTTATGGCTGCATGTAAATGACGGTTGAGATCCAGTTCTTCAATGAGGGCACTCCAGCGCTTCCAACGAGCAGGGAAGAAAAAATGCTGGGCCAAGTCCGAGTCAGAACGACGCGCGTCGATGCCAAGGATCAGCTCCGCCACCAAGTCGTAGACGAAACCAAGCTCAAGTGCACTTCCTGTTTCTGGCGGCAGACTGATGAGACGATCGTGGCAATACTGGAATGCCTTGTCAGCATCCAGCCCTTCGGTACGAAGATCCTGTCGCAGATATCGCCAGCCCTCAAAAACGACGTGATAGCTGTGAAGCAAGCCCAAAGCAACAACAAATCTGTGAGCCCGGCGTGAGCATGCGTCTGATTGGAGCTTCAAAGGTGACTTCCGAAAGCGACGGTCGCTCTTACAAGTCGCTACGACACGCTCGGCTTGCAAGCCGCTGAAAAGCGTTGTTGCATAGCTCGATGGTCGCGCCTTCGTCGACATACACCTTCAAAGCTTCCAGCTCTGCCTCTGTGCGCTGGTCCAGCTTGAGTTGAATGTCGAGCGCCTCTCCATGGCTGTCGCTGAGCCCTTGGCCGTGTTCAGCCTCTGTGCGGCCCAGCTCCGGCTGCCCAGCCATACTGCCATTGATATCGCCAATTTGAATTCTAGCTGTTGGTGACAACCCTGCTCTGCAAATCTGCCGAACAAGACTCTATCACCGCTTTCCCGCAGCCAGCACGCTCTCTCCGATCCATCCAGCCCATCTCCAGGAGTGGCCCAGCGCCATCTCATCCAACAAACTCCCGCAGCGCGCAAAAACCGTGTGTGTGTGTGTGTGTGTGTGTGTGTGTGTGTGTGTGTGTGTGTGTGTGTGTCGTGTATGCTATTTTATTTTAAACTTGCACTCTCCTTTTTGAACTTTACTCTCCTTTTTATTTTAAACTCTCTACTCTCCTTTTCTCCTAAACTTTTACTCTTTTTTTTTTCTTATCACACAGTTTCATTCATCTCTCTCCCTCCCTCTCTCTCTCTTTCTTTCTCTCTCTCTTTCTCTCTCTCTCAAACTCTCTACCAATTCACTTTCTCTCTCTCTCTCTCTCTCTCTCTCTCTCTCTCTCTCTCTCTCTTGAAATGTCGGGGACGATCTCTCCTCGACTGCCGGACTGGCGGTGGCTCTTGTTGTTGGTGGGCCTGGTGGCAAGCGCGGTGCAGGCGGGGCCTGGTGATCTCTCTTGCGGTGATGTGTTGCCCGTGGCTCGGCATGCAGACCTTCACGCGTGTGCAACTTTGAATCCTGGCTTTCCGGCTGTGGATGTGGCCACGAGTGTGCTCTACCCCAAGGCCCGAAGCGTCACCTTAGGGCACGGCCATGCGCATTTGTTGCCTCGGGACCTAAAGGTTCGCATCCTTAATGCATCGGCTGCTGATCATCAAGTCTTGCGCACCGCCGTGACCGACTTTTGCACCCGCATTGTCGACGCTTGTACGTCTGCACCGGCCACCGCGGCAGCCAGCGAAGCCGAGGAGACGTTTGCCCTCTCCATGATTGAGATTTTCATTCACAACGAAGACGAGCCCTTGCAGCACCCGCTCAAAGAGCAATATGTTCTGGATGTTGGCATGACGCACATTCGCATCGAAGGCCAGGCCGTCTGGGGCGTTCACCATGCCCTAGCTACGCTCTACCAGCTGATCGGCCGCCACAACACCCGCAATCTCCCTGCCATCACCGGCCTGCCGTTGCGCATCGAGGACAGGTAGTGACATTCAGCTGGCTCTCACCGGCTTACCTGGCAGCATGTTTGTCTGCTTTGTCGCGCGTGGCTGAATCCTGCTCATTTTTCATGTATTGGTCCGCGACGTAGCCCTGAATTTGGCTGGCGTGGCCTGCTTGTGGACACATCCCGCCATTTCATGCCTGTGCCCATCCTCAAGAATCTCATCAACCTCATGGCCACCATCCACTACAACGTGCTTCACCTTCACCTCGTCGATGATCAGGTTTGGATCATGAATGTGTAGAGCCTGCGCCCTATAGAAAACAACAAGGAAAGGAATTAAAGGCTGCCTCACTTGTGCTTTTGCCGTTGCTCAGTCCTTCCCGGTCGTGGTACCTGAGTTTCCTCATCTGAGTGAAGAAGGTGCATGGCACAACGTTCACCCCAACGTCTACACACCCCAAGATTTGGAGGATCTTGTCAACTATGCCGGAAACCGCTCCATTCGCGTCGTGCCAGAGATTGACATTCCTGGTCACAGTGCTAGCTGGACCTTTGGCGAGCCCCAACTCAAATGTACGTCAAGAATGCCTTCTATTTTACTTTGGTTGTTTGGGCTTTGGTGAACTGCTTGACCGACGCAAACCGCACAATTTAGCCTGCAACCATCCTCGCAACACCATCAATCCGCTGGAACCCCGCACCTACGAGGTGTGTATGCGAGTGCTAGTGCGGCGTGCATTCCCGTGACAATGCCTTTTTGTTTTTTTTGTTTTTTCCCTTCCAAAGCGGTCCGTTACCTCACTCATTTTTAACCGAGCCAGGTGGTGCGTGGCGTCTACAAATATGCCAACTCGGTCTTTCGCGACGATTACTTTCACACGGGCGGTGACGAGTTTGATGTTAAATGCTGGCAGATGAATTCTAGTAAGCGCGCGCGCATGTGTGTCTTTCTACGTTTTATTCTTTTATTACATGTTTTCATGATGCTGAACCCCCCGCAATGCCCTTCCTTGCTTTGCTGGCAGCCATCCAGCGCGCCATGGGTGGCGCTACGGGCTACGCACTGCGACAGCGCATCATCGATGCTGGCTGGGATGTTGTGCGTGAGAAGAAACGCACCCCGATCGTCTGGAAGGTATGTTTTGGTGCAAGGCTATGTTTCATTGTGATCGCGTGGGTCAGCCTAACGGCATTTGCATGCTTGTGTTACAGGACATGCGGGATTCTGGCATGTCAGTACCCAAGGACGTCGTGCTGCACGTCTGGAAGTTCTGGGGAAGCTATGTATGTCGTGTGCTGGAGCAAGCGGTCTAGAATTCGCAGAGCGCGCACACACACTTTTGCTAATGGGTTTGTATGCTTTTTTTAGCTCTGCGGTCTTGCTTCAGTGGTTAAAATGGGATACAAGGTCATTCAGGTGGGTTTTGTGGTACCTTGGCATCCTTGGCATGGCCCAAAAGGCTGAACGGCAGCCATTGACATCATTGTGGGTGCATTCAGAGCCAATATTACTACTTGGACAACGAGGGAAGGTTTGACGAACACTATGAACGCCCAGTTTTTTTGACGCACAAATGTCCCTTGAGCAAAGAGTTGCTCCAGCAAAATGCTCTAGGAGGCGAGATGTGCCTTTGGGCAGGTATGGACCTGCTGATTTGTGCAGGGGTGTGCTTGGGTCTCACGACAACCTTGTATCGGCTAATGGTACGACTACGTGTCTGCTCTTTCACCGCTGGGCGCCCTTTTTGCAGAGAAAATTGAGGCGCACAATTTGTTGTGCCGGGCGTTTCCGCGCGGCTTGGCCTTTGCGGAGCGCCTCTGGTTTTCAGATTGGATGGCCAAGGGCGACGCCAAGGCTGCCTATCCTCGGGTTCAGTACGTAGCATTGGTCAAATCGGTCCAATTGCGCGGATTTGACAGCAGGATTGGGCTCGCGGTGTCCACAAGTCATCCTTTGCTCACCCCTTTTGGCTCATCACCCTCGGCAGACGCTGGACCAAGATTCAACAATTGCTGAAATACAACATTGCCAGCGCAGAAGGATTCGGCCAGCCTGACCAGTGCCAGGATGCCAGGGACGCGCAGGACCCGCGCAACACCAAGCTTCGCAATGCTATGGGCGACATGCCCCGTCTTCCCAAATAAAAGCTTCAAACTTACAAATTCATGCATTCGATTCTAATTTCGCTTGTCATGTCAAGCTTAACCCAGCCAGCAAAGAAAGGGCGGGCGCACGCACACGCGCTGATACCTTGTACCCGTCTCTCTATCCATGTCAACCCCACTCCTCCTCCCTGCTCTCTTTTGCCAGTGGACGGACCGCCCAGCTTGCGTCTTCCAACAAATACTTTTTCTTGTGTGTGTGTGTGTGTGTGTGTGTGTGTGTGAAAATTTCGATTTCGTGTGTGTGTTCGTGTGTGTTTCCTTCTCTTTTTTTTTCATTTTTTTTTTTGCTTTTCGCGAGCAGAAAAAGCCAAGCGACAAGCACGATGGCAGCCACATTTGCGCGCCAGTGCTGGCAGTCATGCCGGCAGCTGGCCTGGAAGCCAGCACGTGGTAAGACTTTTAAGCGATGGTTTGACTCCTCGCTGTTGTTGGCTCTCTGGAGGCGTTGGTTTCGTATATCTCACGTCCTAGACCTGCTCAGTGGCGCTGGCGTCGGCGGGAGGAGCCACTGCTGTGGTGGCCATGCATCAGGACTTTATTCCAAAACCCACCAAGTTTCAGCACTTTTTCAGCGGTGGTGTCGGTACGTTCTTCAGTATCTTCCTTCATACGGTCGCAGAGTGTGAGAGTGTGAGAGTACGTGTGTGAGGGCAAGCGAAGAAGAGGTGTAGTAAAAAGAGAAGGCGGTCGGGTGGTATCACGTCGCAGAGAGACGCAGCCGCATCGGGTCTCATGTCCGGCAGTATAGGCCCCCGCGCTGACAGGCGCCCCCATACCATCACGGTGCACGGCGACGAGCGCGTCGACTTTTACTACTGGTTGCGCGATGATAAGCGCGAGGACCCAGACATGATCAAGCTGTGCAAGGCCGAAAATGCTCACGTTGAGGAGGGCATGGCTGGTACTGAGGTATGCTAGCAAACGCCTTGTCAAAGTCCTGTACTCGAATCGCCTCATGGCCCGGCATGATAGGATTTGCGCGAGAAGCTCTTCAAGGAGATGCGAGGCCGCATTGCCGAGGATGACACTTCCGTCCCAATGCGCAAAGGCCCCTACTTTTATTACACACGGTGCGTCTCGCAACAAAGTCAACGCTCTTGCACACTCTGCATGGGCGCTTTCGTTTGTCCTGACACGGGGCACATGCATCTGTTGTGCAGCTTTGAGAAGGACAAGCAATACCCGATTCACTGTCGCCGCAAGCTCAAGCTTGGTGCGGCATCTCTCCTGCTTTTCGAGACCGCGCATTTCTGCTCTTCTCATTCGTATTTCGTGCAGGGGCTGATGCTCCTTACAGCGCTAGCCAGGACATGAACGATGAGCTTTGTGAGGCGGAAGAAGTTAGTGCCGTCTGAATTTTGCTTCAGACACTGACTCATCGAGTGGCCGCTCACCTATCTCTTCCACTGTCACTTGTCACAGGTGCTATTGGATGTGAACGTCGAAGCTGAAGGCAAAAGCTACTATCAAGTTGGCAGCTTTGTGCCATCGCCCGACCACCGGTCTGTTTTGCCTTGCCTCGTCCCTCATTTCGCTAGCTCCAATGCCTCGCCCATTCACTCTTGTCGCTAT